AATTTGGAATGGGTTGTGTTGGTTATGTTAAAGAGACAGGATTAGTGTGGATGTGTCTTGAATAGCTCTCTTTTGAGATCTAAGCAAGGGAGAGAAAGAGATAGGGGAAAACTGATGCCAAACCACATTTCCAAAGAACCAGGAAATAAAACTGGAACCAGGACTTTCCTTAAAGCTGACAGAAAGACACTTTCCCCTAGAGCCACATGCCATGAAAGCTTACTTCTATCCTCCTAGAGAAAATCAAGCTAGATTCAGAAGACAATGTGGAACAAGGGAGATCATTGCTGATGTCAGATGGATCTTGGTTAAAAGCAGACAATACCAGGAAGAAAAAATGTTTACCTATATTTTATTGATTATGCAAAGATTTTTTACTGTGTGGATCATAGATAACATTTTGAAGAATGAGAATTCCAGAACACTTCATTGTGTTTATACAGAACCTGCACATAGAACAAGAAGTAGCTCATTCAAACAGAACAAAGGGATTCGTTTTTGTTGTTGTTAAGTGCCCTGGAGTCAGTTCCTACTTATAGCCACCCTGTATAGGGTTTCTGAAGAGCACCTGGTGAGTTTAAACTGCCAACCTTGCAGTTTAAGCTGATCTTGTAGTCCAGCGTACTGCGTTATCCCACAGAGCCTCATCAGGACTCCAAACAAAGAGACAGTGCATGGTTTAAAATCAGAAAATTTGTGCATCAGGTTGTATTCTTTCACTATACTTATTCAGTCTGTATGCTGAGCAAATAATCTGAGAATATGGAGTATATGAAGAAGGTGGCATCAAGATTAGAGGAAGGCTCACCAACAGCCTTTGAAAGTAAAGAGAACTTGAAGGATTTAATAATGAAGATCAAAAACTAAAGTCTTCCAACATGGATTACACTTGAGTAAAAAGAAAATAAAGAACCCTCGTAACTGGGCCAATAAGGAACATCACATAAGCAGAGAAAAGATTAAAGTTGTCAAAGATTTCATTTTACTTGTATCCACAATACATAAGCATGGAAGCAGCAGTCAGGAAATCAATGGATGTATTGCATTTGGCAAACCTGCAAAATAAAAGTGGGTCTACACACCAGGAAATCATCAAGGCAAGCAATCAAGTTCCTTCAGGACAAATTCCCCTCTAAGGCCAAAACTCAAAGGGAACACAAGAACAGGCATGTAAGCTTGCTGGTGACCACATTGGTCTACTGGTGAATGGAAGTGGGGGAGAGGCAGCAATGAAGAAATGGGCTGAGTTCAACCCCAGTCCATTGATTCCCATTGACCTGGAAACAAGAGAGAGAATAGGAAGGGTTGGTTGGTCCAAAGTGTGGTGAGACCTGGGCACACTTGAGCCCATGGACAAGGACATAGCCACAGAGGGCTAGAGCTGAGAGTGAAGCATCCAGCTGATATGAAGTGAGGGGAGATGCACAAGAACACCCAAACTTACAGACAGTACTCATTTGACCTAGCCTTGATGGTTTGGTAATCAGAACCCTACTAAAGGAAGGTTATTCACACACACAAAAATTTTTTTTTGGATAAAGGAAACAAGGATAAATTGGTACAATTTGATGAACCTGATCTATACACATGGAGGTAGTAATTCTAAATACCAACAGAGAGGGAAGGAGTCTTCACATCAAGTATCAATGTTATCCCCTCTATACACAGAGTAGATAGGGATGGGCAACTTAGACATTGGCTACCTAAAATGAGGGGGCAATAAAGGCATGAAGTGACTGGCTTACAAGGTTTCAAGAGGGAGTTTAGTTTAAGAGCATGGGGGTGGGGAGAAAGAGTCTCCACTGAATAGTTTTCATCTTGTCTAGAGGGGTCTGGTGAAAAGAGATGGGGTTAAGATTCATATGATTCAATAGTGAGTAATTGTTATCATGACTAATTGTGACTGTCACAATTGTAAAGGTAGAAGTTTTGTAATAAAAATAGGGGAGTGGTTAATCTTACAGTCCAGAAACAGAGGACCCTAGGACGATCAAGGGAGAAGAGCACAAGCAGAATGCGGCACCTTATCCAGAGAAGCAGCAATGCCAGAGATGGAGGCAGAGATGGGGTCATAGAGAGGGGGAGTGGCTGAGGACTCTAGGTTCATGGGAAGAGAGGGGTTAAGAGCTGGTGGCCAGGAGGCCGACTTGCAGAACGTGCCCTTTGGAGGTGTAAATTATTATATATGCCTGAGTGGATTGGCATTGTTTTTTTTTTATATATAAAAAAAAGCTAAAGTGAATAGAGATGTTAACTGATGATACATGGAGGGGATAATAATCATTGTAATGAAACAAGGTGTATGATTTGTTGAATGTAAAACTGATGATCTGCCCTGTAAACTTTCACTCAATCCACAATAAAAACCTTGAAAGAAAGAAAAAAAGATAAGATCAGAGATATATAAGCTGGAAGTTGATCAAGACAGGCCATGTTTTAAGGGTTTGGATTTATTCCGGGTGTAACAGGAATATAATAAAGAAAATAATTTTCTAATAAAAAATGGGTCTACAAGGCTGGAAAACAGTCTTCCTTTTTTTAATAGTTTGGTCACTCCAATTCTCCCTTGAAATTTTTATCATGTCTTTTAAAATATATTTTGTATTGTGTTTTAGGTGAAAGTTTACATAGCAAATTAAGTTCTCATACATAACAAAGCAAAGATGTCATAACTTAGTTGACTAAGGTGCACTTGACCCAAGTCGTGATATTTGCAATTGTTTCATATGCATGAGGAAACTGGAAAATGAATAAGGAAAACCAGTGAAGAATTGATGCCTTTTAATTCTGATATTGAAGAAAAATATTAAATATACCATGAACTGTCAGAGCAACAAACAAATCTGTGTTCGAAGAAGGTACAGCAAGAACGCTCCTTGCAATCAAGGATGGCAAGACTTTGTCTCACATACTTCGGACATGTTATCAAAAGGGACTAGTCCTTGGAGGATACAATTTTTGGAAGAGGATTAGTGAAAAAAAAAAAGGAAACTCCTAAATAAGATGAAATGACATAGTGGCTGCAACAACACACTCAAACAGAAAAATTGTGAGGACACAGGACCAGGCAGTGTTTCCTTCTGTTGTATATAGGGTCACTTGAGTCAAAGTCGACTCAAGAGCACCCAACATCTTTTTATAGAAAACACTGGTCTTGCCGTGGTTAAAGCATTAGACTGCTAACCAACAGGTCATTGGTTTGAACCCACCAGTCTCTCTGAGGGAGAAAGCATTCGGTTTCCAGAGATTTTCAATTTTGGAAACCCTATGGAGTCCTGGTGTGGCGCTGTGGGCTAATGCTTCAGACTACAAAGTCGTTTGAACCTCAGGACCGACGGTTCAAGTTCACCAACTGCTCCTTGAAAACCCTATACAGGGTCGCTATTGGTTGGAATCGACTGGACGGCACTTAACAACAACATTGGAGTAGTTTGCTTCTATAAAGATTTCAGCCTTGGAAATCCTATGTCGCATCATTTCTACGCTGCTCTATAGAGTGGCCATGAATTGGAATAGATTCAACCGAGGGCAGTGAGTTTGTTTTTCGCGTTAGATCATTTTACAGGAAACCTGAGGTGTGCAAGTTAATTCTTTGCTCATCTTAGCTTTATGAAACTATTAATAAACAAAACGCCCCCAAAATACTTATGTAAATAAACATTATCATCAAACCAAGAGTTGTGTTGGTGTGGTGGCGCTGTAGATCTAGGCACTGTACTACAAAGTTAGCTTGACCCAAAAACTCTTGAGTAGTGCGTTTCGAAGCTTAGAACCAACTCCAACATCACAACCAGTTAAGTATAAATTAGCAGAAACCCGAGGTATACTTTACGAAAAAAACCAGTAACAGCGATCGTCAGGATATCAGATAAGAGCAAACAGGATGTTGCAAGTCCTGCTTACGCGGAAATGCTAATCACGTATCATGCGAGCTCCAATCATCATGCTATCTCTGTTCTCCAAAAGGAGGAACAGGTAAGGATTAACCTTACTGACGATAAAACAAAACGTATGCTACCCTGTACTCATTGAAACACATTCCGCTTACATGTAGGGCGAGAATAAAATTCGTTACCGTAGATAACACCTACTACTACATTAGGTGCCTATGTTTCTTTGCGGATTTCTTGAAAAACCAAAGCATATGTTTTCATTCGGCTTCCCAAAAATGAATAAATCAATTCCTCCCAGAAGGCTCCACTCACCTATGTGCTGGGAACCGAAATTATACGCATGCTCTTATTTACATATCTCCACCCACTCCCTTCCGCCAGACTTGTACCGTAATAATTAAAATAAAAGCGACACCTAAAATCGTATAAAGGAGCTCTGGTAGCGTAGCGGTTAGGAATGGGGCTGCAAACCTTAAGGTCAACAGTTCGAAACTACCAGCTGTTTCGCGGGAGAATGATGAGGCTTTCTGCTCCCATAAAGATTTCCAGCCTTGGACACTCTGTGCAGGATCACTAATGAGTCGGAACAGACTCCACGGCACATAACAACAACATTCTCCCTTGTACTTTTTATCAACCCTTTATTTATTTTTAAAAATATTTTATTGTTTTAGGTGAAAGAACAATTTTTGTACAAATTGTTCTATGACATTTATTAAAATTTTCACAATGGGTCAGCATTCTCATTATAGTATTCCATTTTGTTTGTTCTATTTTCATTTGTCTAGTTTCCCTGCTCCTCCTTGCCTTCTCGGTATTGCTTACCGATACATATTGACCATTTGGTCTCCTATAATTAGCTTATTTTAGGGCACGCATTTCTCACAGTGATGGATGATATTGTTTGAAATTTTGAACATAAGTCTTGATCTTATTATAAAACATATTTTATTATAAAATACTAAATAATACATGAATAATCCCAGACTTGGGAGATAATTATCCCATCACTGATATCTTCCTCCAAATGCAGTTTCAGGTGAGGACGGAATTCTATGCTTTCTTGTCCTTCCAGTCTTTGTCCCTCCATTCCCTTCATGCAGGTGATCACAAAGGTTTCTTTTTCAGTCCAAACACAGCGATGAATAATGCCAATTCAGTGACAGCTGGGAGGGCACTGTAGGAGGTACGTGGTGGATTCAGGGACCCTTAATAAAAATATCCAGAGACCCCACTTCCAATGTACACGTGGGGGAAAACTTGAGGAGATGAGTGGAGCTGGTATCTAACACATGGGGGACACCTTCACATTTGAGGTAAACCTTCCTCCCTCATCCCCAAATATCTCACCTGCAGAAGACAAAAATGTACCAGTATGTGGTACACTCCCAACGTTCGAATATGAAGAAGGATAGGGCCACGGATGCACTACAGTGTGCCCCAATGGCTTGGGCACACACTAGAGTTAAGGAAAGCCTTGGGATCAGCAGGTGGTGATGGGCCACAAAAATCCCATGGTGGGACTCACATCTGTGCTCAGATTCATCTTGACTTTCTGTACCAGTGCTAGGTCAGAGCCCAGAGCCCACAGCCCACACTTCTGAGTTTTAGGACAGCAATTTACATGGAAGACAGAGCTAAAGCAGCACATCTGGGACCCCAGGCAACCCTACCCCATTATTAGGGGGCAGGCTGAACCCAGGAAGTGAGGTAAGAGTAGGTTCCCCATCTACTCCCAAATCACACAGGGATGTTCACAGCAACTAGATGATGTACTCTGCTGGAATCCCTCAAGCTTCCTAGGATTGTTGCTGTTAAGTGCTGTTGAGTCAGATCTGACTCATAGTGACCCTGTACAGGGTTTCCAAAGAGCGGCTGATGGATTGGAACTGCCAACATAGCGATTCAAACTGACCTTGTGGTCCAGTGCATTATCCAGCAGCGTGCCACATCTGGGATTACTGGCTCATGATTCATGTATCAGGAGCCTTCCCTAATCCTTGTCCCCTCACTTCCTCTTCTGAGTTCCCATATTGCTTTATATCTTCAGAGAATCCAATAAATTAAAATCAAAACCAAACTCACTGCCATCCAGTGAACTCATAATAAGTTTTAAGGAGCAAACAACCTAATCTTAATGCCTTGAGGGGAGCAGCCCAACACCTAACCCATTAGGACACCAGGACACAATGCTATATAGCACATTGCTTATTGCACTGCTTTACAAAACTTTGTCTCTATGTCGCCCTGCTCTTAAAGGTAGAAGTGTTTTACTCCCATTTCTGGATCTCCAGTGTCTGCTGGTGTGGCACTGTAGCATGAGCACAGGATTGCTAATCGTAAAGTCAGTGGTTCAAACCCACCCCCACACCCCGCTCCTCGCAAACTCCATACAGGGTCGCTATCAATAACAGTGTCCACTGTGTAGCGGGGGCGTAACACATACTTAAAGACTATATGGAATCCCTGAGATTTCCCAATTTGAGATTTCGTTTGCCTCCTAGGGCAAACATTACAGTGCCAGGAAAGCCTAGTTAGGTGGCTAAGGGCAGTCATGAGCGAAATGGGCCACGTGGGAAAGATGTGCAGGTGGAAAGGATACAGATGAGGCTCTGGGTGCAGTTGAACATGGACACTCCTGAGAAGAAACCGGCCAATTCCACTGCAAAGAGGCCCAAGGTGACAGAGAGAGCTGCCACCAGTCTGCAGAGAAGAAGGAATTAGTTTAGCCCTTGAGGACTTTATCTAAGACCCTTCCACTCTCACCACCGCTGCAGCCAGACCACCCCACTTCAAGAGCTCACTGAATATCCTTTTTCTCGTACTCCTCGGGAGTGAAGGTGAGAGGCAGGCATGCCTGGATGTTGCTGTCCTGGGGAGTCAGGCAAAGAGAAAGAAAACTGTGAAAGAGGGGCGGCGGGGCATGAGAGGACCCGAATAGGCTGATGCTGGAAAACCCAAGGAAGGAGCGGGTAGGACTGGGACTACTCGAGTGGCAAGGGTACGGCCTTACGTCTTACCCGCGACCAGAATAAAGTGATGACGACCACCAGATGTGCCAAGAGAGTCAGGAAGCGAGAGGGCACGAGTCCCGAGACCCGGCCCATGGCCCCCGAGGACAGGGCCCTCGCGCAGAGCAGATGCCGTGGTCTCTGAGGCTAGAAGCTTTAAGTGGGTCACTCCTGAAGTCCCCTCCGCAAGCACGCAAAATCCAGCCTTATTGTAGCTGGAGCCGGCGCTGCTAGTTGCCTTGGCAACTGCGTCGTTGGCGCAGCGCCCTGTTTTCTAGAAATCTCGTGAGAGCAGTAAATTCTCGCTATGGGCAAGTCAGCTTTATTCAAATTTATGCACCAACCACTAAAACTTATGATGATAAAAATGAAGAAATTCAGCCAACTTCTTCGGTCTGGAATTGATCAAACATGCCATCAAGATTCAATAATAATTACTGGTGATTGGAATGCAAATCTTGGAAGGAGGAAGAATCAGTAGTTGGATAATATGGCCTTAGTGATAGAAAGGATGTCTGAGATAGCATGATAGAAGTTTACAAGGCTAATGACTAATCCATTGCAAATACCGCTTTTCAAAGGACAATTATACACATTAACCTCATCAGACAGAATACACAGAAATCAAATTAACTGTATCTGGGGGAAGAGACAATGAAAAAATTCAATATCACCAATCTTAAGGCCAGGGGCCAACTGGAAAAGACCATCAATTGCTCACATGCAAGTTCAAGCTGAAGATGAAAATGAAAATAAGTCCTCAAGAGCCAAAATATGATCTTGCATATACATACATACATACATATATCCTGGTAGTGTAGTAGTTACGAATTGGGCTGCCAACCTAAGCTCAGCAGTTCAAAACTACCAGTTGTTCTGCAGGAGAAAGAGGAGGCTTGGTACTCCTGTAAAGATTTACAGCCTCAGAAACACCGTACAGGGTGGCTATGAGTCTGAACCAACTCCACAGCACACCACCACTTAAAGTTAGAGACCACCTCAAGAGCAGATTTGATGCATTAGACACTAATGGTGTGGAAATACACAGAGTTACTGTATCAGAAAGGAATGGATGATGTTCAACCACTTCAAGAGGTAGCATATGATCAAGAACCAATGGTACTGAAGGAAGAAGTCCAGACTGCCCTGAAGGTATTAGAGAAAAACAAGATTCCAGGAATTGATGGAATACAAATTGAAATCTTTCAACAAACTGATGCAGCACTGGAAGGTGCTCACTCATCTATGACTAGAAATTTTGAAGACAGCTCCCTGGTCAACTGATTGGGAGAGATCCATATTTGTGCCCATCCCAAAGAAAGGTGGCCCAATGAAATGCAGAAATCATTGAATAATATCATTAATATTACATAGAAGTAAAATTTTGCCGACAATAATTAAAAAATGATTGCAGCAGTATGTGGACATGAAGTTGCCAGGAATTCAAGCTGGATTCAGAAGAGCACATGGAACGAGAGATATTGCTGACATCAGATGGATCTTGGCTGAAAGCAGAGAATACCAGAAAGATGTTTACATGTGCTTTATTGACGACCGTATAGATCATAACAAATTATGGATAGCATTGTGAAAAATAATTCCAACCTGTACATAGACTAAGAGGCAGTCGTTAGAACAGAACAAGAGGAGATTGAATGGTTTTAAATCAGGAAAGGTGTGTGTAAAGGTTGTGTCCTTTCACCATACTTATTCATTCTGTATGCTGAGCAAATATTCTGAGGATCTGGGACTATATGAAGAAGAATTGGAGGAAAGCTCGTTAACAACATTTGGTAACATCAGATGGATCTTGGCTGAAAGCACTTGAAGCACTTATTGATAAAGATCAATGACATCAGTATGGATTCCATCTCAATGTAAAGAAATTTAAAATCCTCACAAGTGGACTAATAAACAACAGCATGATAAATGAAGAAATTTTGGCAGTTGTCAAAGGTTTCATTTTGCTTGAGTCCACAATCAAAGCTCATGGAAGTAGCAGTAAGATAATCAAAGGATGTATTGCATTAGGCAAATCTGCTTAGAAAAACCTCTTTAAAGTGCTAAAGAGTAAAGATGTCAGTTTAAAGACTGAATGTGCTCCTGACCAAAACCGTGGTGTGGTACTTTCAGTCGCCTCATACGCATGGAAAAGCAGGACCATGGATAGGAATAGTGGAGAAGAGCTGATGCATTTGAATTGTAGTGTTGGTGAAGAATACTGAAAAGTACCATGGACATGGATGGTGACACTATCATAATTATTTCTGTGACAAAACCTGCTAGTATAAAGGTCAGCAGTTCAAACCCACCAGTCGTTCCTCCGAAACTCTATAAGGGTTGAAACTGACTCCACTTAACAACAAAACCTCTTGTGCTTAGAAATCAAGTCATGCTCCCTAGCACAGTATTTACTGACCTGACTTCCCTTTCTTGAAATTTCCTGCCACTCCAGATAGATCATATCCCCTTCCTCTATAGACTAGGTTTTTGCCTACCCATTTTCCAACCCACAGTCAGTCCTGATAGCAGTTATTCACTATTGTACCAGAAGAGTCCTAGTCCTATCTCCTTTCATGAGCCCTGCTCAGACAGACTGGATACTACTCAGTGGAGATTCTACCTTCCTCCTTGCCCTCTGGATCTAGGCTCCCTCTTTTTTTTTTTTTTTTTTTTAATGTTTTATTGTGAATTATATGATAGTTTACGTGGGAGAACATCAGTTTTACATTCATCCTATCATTTATCATTTCATTGCCATGGTTACAATCCCCTCCATGCATCATCAAACAACCAAAGGTTATACCCTGCAAGCCTGCCCCGCCCCCCACCCCCCAGAATCCCCACTAACGGTCATCAGCACACAACCCATCTCCCTCTCTGGGTCCAGAGTCCCCAGCCACTCCATCTCTCCACGTCATTGTCTCTGCCTCCATCTCTGGTGTCACTGTTTCTCTGGGTAGGGTCCCACACTCCGCTCTTCTCCCTTAATGGTCCCAGGGACCTCCGCTCCTAGATTGCAAAGTTTACCATTCCCCTCCTTGCTACAAAATGTCTACCTTTACATTTCCAACCCTCACAATCAGTCCTCATAATAATTATTCACCATTGTATCACAAGAGACCTATCCCCATCTCCTCTCATCAACCCTGCCTAGACAGATCGGATACTACTTAGTGGAGATTCTACCTTTCTTCATGCCTTCTGGATCTAGGCTCCCTTTTGAAAGCTTGTAAGCCAGTCACTTCTTGCCTTTGTAGCCCCCCATTTTGGGTAGCCAATGTCCAAGTTGCCAATCCCTGTCTACTTGTATATGGAAGGGGTGGGAATGATCCTCGATGTAAAGATTTGTTCCCTCTTTTGAGCTACTGCCTACCCATTTGCTTTTGTTAAAACTTGTTATTGTCAACTGACATTGAATCAGTTCCTACTCATAGTGACACTATATAGGGTTTCCAAGGACCGGCTGGTGAGCTTGAACCACCAACCTAACGGGTTCAAACTGATTTTGCAGTCCAGCACCACACCAGGACTCCTTGTTAAAGCCTTCCCCCATTAACTACACAAACACTTGTTGAATACATACATACTATATTCCAGGAACCATGCTGGGTGCTGGGAATAAACATTCTAAAGTCTAGTGAGAGAAACAGCTAAGGAAACATTTATATTTTAAGTGCTGTCCTGAAGGAGACACAGGATGGGCCTCCTCCCCCAGATGGGAAAGAGGTATAAGGAGAAGGGAGTTTCTGAATTGAGTATATAGAGTCAGGCAAAGAAGGGTTGGACAGACTATTCAGCAACACCAGGAACAGTGGCACAAAGACAGAAGGATCTAAGATGAGTTTATTGTTGTTATGTGCCATGTGGTTTCCAAGGAGCAGCTGGTGAGCTTGAACCGACTACCTTGAAGTTCAAAGGACTTTGCAGTCTGGCACATTAACCCACCACACCAGATGCAGTTAAATCAGTTTTGACTCATAGCAACCCTATGTACTGTTCAGAATGAAACACGGCCCAGTTCTGTACCATCCTCACAATTGTTCCTATTTTGAGCTCATTGTTGTAGCCACTGTGTCAATCCAGCTCCCTAAGTGTCTTCCTTTTTTAAAACTTTTTTGCTGACTCTCCACTTTACAAAGCATGAAGTCCTTCTTCAGGGATTGATTCCTCCTGATGATATGTTCAAAGTCTGTGAGCATTTTGGCTGTACTTCTTCCAATACAAATATGTTTGTTCTTCTGACAGTTCATTGTATATTTAATATTTTTCATTAACAACATAATTCAAAGTAATCAATTCTTTGGTGTTCCTTACTCACTGCTTAGCTTTTACCTGCATATAAGGCAACTGATAATACCATGGCTTGGGTTTGGAGCAGTCAGGGAAATCAAATGACATATTACATTGGGAGATCTGCTGCAAAAGTCTCTTTAAATGATAAGTTTAAACGAGTCTGTATGATTGTCTTATGGGAACTGAGAGGAGAATGACGGAAGAATTGGGGAAGGATCAAATATTAATAATAATAATAGCAATAGCCAACCAAGCCCCTCAGCACTTTATCTCCAGTAAATAAACTAAGAGTAACAGATGTAGACACTGAGACACAGGGAGGGTTTATAAGTAGCTGAAATTACACAGCTAGTAAGTAACAAAGGTTGTATATGAATCCTAGCAAACTGGTTGCAGAGCGCCACAGGATAAGCACTGGACCTCAAGGTCATTTTGAAATTCAAGATTGGAGATTCAAACTTACCAGCCACTCCTTGGAAACCCTATACAGGGTTGCTATGAGTCGGAATCAACTCTACGACACTTAACAGCATAAGTAAGAGAGTTCTTACTTGATCTTGTGGGCCAACCTTCATCCCAAAGGTGCAGGAGGGGGGACTGATTTTAAGCTGAGAAGAGATATTTGAGTTATATAAGGATGATTCTCTTGGCTATTCTGGAAGCAAGGAGAACAGAAAGGACTCTGTTGCAATAATTGATTAAAAGAGACTAGGATTTGGCAATAGGTAAGGGGATAAGGACTAACAGGAGAAATAGTAAGGAAATGGACAGCACTTTGTGGCTGATTAGAAATGGGAATTGAGGGAAAGCAAAGAGTCAAAGTTGAGTCCTAGCTTTGGAGTCACCACTTACTGGGAGTACAGAAGGACTGGGAAGGAAGGTGACAATGATGAATGGAGGTGTCTAATAAGCTCTGGATGTCTGGATCTAGAAGCTGGGTGGTATGGAGAGGGTGTGGGATTCAGGAGCCCTCAGCACACAGTAATAGCTGAAGCTATGAGAGATGCATGGCAGTAAAGAGTAGATAGAACCCTGAGGAAAATGAGGATTTAAGGTGAGGACAGAAAAAGAGGGATGAGTAGAGATGAGGGTTAGGGACAGACAGATTCGAGGCAGTCCAGCAGACAAGGGTTATGGCTACCAAGGGAGATGATGTTACCCTAAGTCCATTAAGGTCTGGTCAGAAGCTTTTGTGAGCTTTGACATTCCTATGGTCCCTCAAAACTTCCGATAGAGTTACTGTAAAATGTGCACAAATTTGGCCAGGAAGACAAGGAGCATATATAAGCCTATTGAATTCCTCTCATCTTTAAAGAAGCAAATGGAGTCTCTTCCAGCTATGGTTATTCTTCTGTACAAGTCCCAGCTCTGTCTAGCCACCCAATTGCTATCTTCTGACTCTGAGACCTTATGTGTCTCAGAGTAGAATTGTGCTCCATAGGTTTTTCAACGATGATTTTTTTTTTAAGTGCACTCCAACATTTTGGTTAACAGGCAGTAATATTAACCGTTTGAACCACCCAGGGATTCCTCTGTCTAGCTAGGGAACTTTCCAAAAAATACTGACGTTTATGATGATAGAAATTAGAGCAGTGATTACCTTTCCGTAGGGGTGAGGTGGGGTGGACAGGGAAGGGATAAGAGAAAACTTTCTGGCGCGATGGATTTGTCCTGTACCTTGAAAAGCTGTGAGTTGCACAGGTGTATGTATTTGTCAAAATTTATCAAACTTATCTATCACTTAAGATCTGAGCATTTCGCTGTATGCAAATTATACAAAAATATTAATGCCAGGGTTCTATATGAGCCATTTAAATCAGAATTTCTGAGCCTGGAATTTGTGCGTGGTTTTTTTTTTTTTTTTAAGGACTCACAGGAGATTGTAATGTGTAGCCTGGGAGAAGTAGCATTGATGAAGGAGTTTATCTAATCTCATTCCTTCAGGTGACTTGGACTCTGGAATGCCTCCGTCACATTCTCCTTGACATCACTCCTTCAATCCGTTTCCGGGCAAGTCCGTCAGGGCTGGGTTGTGAGCTCTCGGTCCCCCTAGTGACCAGCTCGGACCTACCCACTTGGTTTTCAGCAAGACTCCGGGATCGAAGTCGGAGGGACTGCTGAGTTCCGAGCAATTGAAACCACCGCTCAGTTCCGGCCGCCAGCCCACCAGCCTCTGCTCACTCCCCCGGTACAGGTGGGAGATTGCAGGCATCACTTTGTGTGTTTCAAGAAAGGCAAAAATATGCTCCGCTGTCGCGCGTCGATCAAAGACTGCTCAGCCATCTGGCTGTCCAGTGATCATGAGGCGACCTGTTCACTCATGCGGCCGGCTGACCTCGTGGCGCAACGGTAGCGCGTCTGACTCCAGATCAGAAGGTTGCGTGTTCAAATCACGTCGGGGTCAGTTCTTTTCTTTAGCTAAGTAAGTTCATTTTGCTCATTTTCAATTATGTTCATACCCGACCGTTCAGGTCAAGGAGAAAGAAGTACCTCTGGGAGGGACGGGAGAAGGCTTCTGGCACAAAATTCGAGACTTCACCATCGAAAGAACGCATCCATCTCACAGTGTTTTTTCCAAAGGCTCCAGTTACTGTAAGCGTGGGTGAATAGCCGGACTTCTTAGAGCAGGCGCACGTTTCAGGTCCCTTGTTTCTGAGAGAGGAGTGTCAGGTGCTCGCGCGGGCAAGGAAACCACTGTGAACTTAGAGATGCTGGGCACATTTTCTCAGAATTTATAATGTGAACGGGCCCTACCGGCAGGTTCAGACCCCAGAGACCAGATTCAGAGAATAGTGTCTGTAGACGAGGTGGCCGAGTGGTTAAGGCGATGGACTGCTAATCCATTGTGCTCTGCACGCGTGGGTTCGAATCCCATCCTCGTCGGTTTGCAGTTTCTCTGCTCACGTTCAGTTTTGTAATCCTCTTCCCCTGTTTCTCTGACACCTCTACATCCCTCCCATTTATTTTCTTCGGTCGTATTTTCGTTTCCGTCTACACTATTCTATGTTGTTGTTATGTGCCATGGAGTCTGTTCTGGCTCATAGCGACCCTGTACAGGGTTTCCGAGGCTGTAAATCTTTACGGGAGCGGAAAGCCTCATCTTTCTCCCGCGGAACAGCTGGTAGTTTCGAACTATTCTATAGTTGTTGTTAAGTCGAGTCGATTGCGACCCCATAGCGACCCTGTATAGGGTTTCCTAGGAGCAGCATTTAAAACAGCATCTAGCTATTGTTCTACGTACTATGGGGCTGACCTCCGCCAAATAAGCAAGGGGTAAAGTTTAGCTTCGTGGGCGCCGTGGCTTAGTTGGTTAAAGCGCCTGTCTAGTAAACAGGAGATCCTGGGTTCGACTCCCAGCGGTGCCTCCGCTGTCTCGTATGACTTTTGCGTACTCATCCATAACTGTCGTTCCTCTTTTTGTTTCTCAAACTTTTTCCATTTCAGATTGTGTACATGTTTGGGCGTGCTAATTTCGTTCATCTTCCTTCTCAGAAACCCCATATGTGTGCCACTCGAACTGCTCCAAGGGCCAGAGGAGTTTTCATTAATAATCGTGGTGGCTGCTGTTAAAATGCAGTGTGTCCGTTTCCTTGTTTCGCTTTCACACTTCCTAAAACAGTCTCATCTGTAAAATTTTCATGGATAGCAGATTAATTATAAATTTTACATAGTTTCAGGCGAGACTATTAGCAACAGCCGGCCGGTTAGCTCAGTTGGTTAGAGCGTGGTGCTAATAACGCCAAGGTCGCGGGTTCGATCCCCGTACGGGCCAGTAGCTCTCATTTTAAAAACAGTACCTTTAACCTTTCTTAGAAACAAATTTGTCACTGGAAAATTTATGGAGCACACCCTAAAGCGAACCTTTCATACACAAATAAAAGGAATTAGATTGGATTTCAGTTGTAAGTATGAGTGTCTTGAGGAAAAGAAGTTTTAGAGAAGACAAACCCTATGTGATCTCCCTTTCCAAATCTCTTTGACGCTAAAATAGGGCTCCTAGAATCTGTCATCTCCCTTTCCAAATCTCTTTGACCCTAAAATAGGGCTCCTGGAATTCTCCTATGAGAATTGTGGACAGAAGCCAGCTAAGGATTGGGATAAGGATTATTTTAAACCCTAAATGTCGCACTGATCAACAGAGTGCGGGAACCCGAGCCAGAAACGGAGCTGACAATTTGTCCCAGTCTTCCTCATAGCAAAGATGTCCGTTCGGCCCAGCCCCTGCTTGTCCACTATAGAAGCCCCGTTTCCTGGAGTACCTTGTTTACATTTCTGCTTTTACTAGATTTCTGGTCCCAAAAGTGTCTTGTTGTCCACATCATATCAGAAATCCTATCTGCCCTTCCTAAAATGGAATCTCCTCTCTTCTCCTTCCCACCAGCCCTGGCCCCAAGGGAGCTCCAAGCAAAAGACCCACCCTCAGTCCCATTCCTTTGACTGTCAATCCCTGCAACCCCACAGAGATGAAGCTTCAGTCTTAGCAGCAGCAACATTTTAATTCCATAAAACTCAGAAAGCCAAAACTGATTAGAACACTTCACAACAAGTGGGCTTCAAATCCAGTAACAATTCTACCTGAACTCTGAAGAGTGGTGAGACACCCACCCCCACCACATGGCCAATCTCCCCCTTGGTTTGTCTGGGGAAGTGGTACGATATGGGGACCAGGGCAGAAACAGAAGGTTGTCCTTCAGCAGGTATGCATTCGTGCTTGCATGGAGTGTGGACAAGGCTCACTCACTCAAATTCCCAAAGTCCCTCACAATAGAGATGAGGCCACTGGAGGAAGGGTATCCACAATAGAGATGAGGCCACAGTGGAGGAAGGGTATCCTCTGTTCCCCTCTTTTGATCACACATGGGAGTCATGTATCCATCCATCTTCAAACTGAGAGCTAAAGCCCTAGGTTCCCAAAGGTGGTGGCTCTAGTTAGGAAGGGGAGTTGTGACCAATAGGGTAACTACAGATGACCAAATGAATAGAAGCAGAACATCATCCCCTCCCTCCAAGAGAGCAATTAGAAGTTCCCTGTATACACTGCTAAGTGCATCTGGAAGAGCCTCCAACACATGGATATCTCCTCTCTTGGCACTTCCCACCAGGGCGGCTCCTTGAAGAGTCCTTTGGATCCTACAGGGCCCAGTCAGGCCTGGCTTCTCCTGCCCTCCTGGTCACTTGCACAGTGCCTCCAACACCTCCAGTGTGCGTCGGATGTCTCGGACTTGGCGCGCCAGTCCCTGAACCGGCTGCAGGGCCCGCTCCAGCTCCTCGCAGCGCGCCAGCAGGGTGTACATGCCCTTGATGCTCATGTCCACCGCTTCGCCTAAGGAGTCCACGGCATCACGGTAGGTCTGTATGCAGCCCACGCTCAACGCCGTCAGCTCTTGCACCGCGCCACCCAACCCACGGAGCAGACGGTCCACCCGACCGCCTAGTTCCCGACTCAGCCGCTCCAGGTCCCGCAACACGTCGGGGTCGATGGGAGGGATGGCCGGGGTGGGTGCGGGCGTTGTACAGGGCCGTGTATGGGCTGGGAGCGGAGGTTGAGGGTTGCTGCTCAGACGGATCTTGAGTTGTAGATTGTTGGCCACAAAGTGGGTGAGGTCGCCTTGGCGGCTCACAGTGCCCTCCAGTTCCAACGCGCTTGAGATAGTGGCACGGCGCCCGCCGCCAGCACCGACCTCGGCACCGCCGCACGCTCCACTCAGCCCATCCAAGCTGCGGCTGTCCTGAAGGCGACTAGAGAACGAACGACTAGTCCTGCCCGCTGCCGCCGCCTCATCGTTGTCCTCTTCCTGATGCTGCTGCTCAACATTCATCCCGCTGCCTCCCGGGATCCCTCGACGGCAGACCTTCTCGGATGCAGGCTCGACTTCCAGCGGCTCAGGGTCCTGGCGCCGGGAGGAAGGAGGCGGGTCGTGCTCTGGATCCGTAGCCCCCCGGCGACTCTTGGTACCAGGCGGCGTCCCTCGGGGACCGGGCTCGTCCTCTGACCCGTGGATTACACTGCAGCTCGAAGTCTTCGGGGACGCCCTGGGGTGGCAGCTCGCGCCCCTAACGTTCTCGGCCTCTTCCTTCTCCGACAGCCTGAGGTCTGAGGGTGGCTCAGAGGGCGTTCGGCTAGGCCCTCCGCCGAAGATCGGGGCCTGGCGTTTCTCTAGAGCAGGGGGTTCTGCCTCCGGCACAGGCCGCCCCCGGGACGAATCCATACTGCAGTTGGGGGCCGGAAGGGTTTGCCCAGGTTCGGGAGGCGTTGGCGGCGCCTTTAAGGGGCGTTGGTAGACGCGCGTCGATCGGCAGCAGGTTCACAATGGTAAGGACAGGAAGAGTTCTTTGATTGGTCGTGGCGACCAGAAAGTCCCGGAAGAGGAGCAGTTATTGACCTGCCAAACACACGTGAGAGCAAAAGGGGTGGAGAAAAGGAGGTGACTGAGGCGCTGGTTGTCCCGCCTCTTTGTAAAAGTTGTGGGGGCGGATCTTAAAGACGTAGGTCCATTGCTTGGCTAACTTCTAAAGTGGGAACGGATTTACGGTTCTACGGCACTTAATAACCACCACAACGAGAGGTTTGGGTAATGGAAATTGTACGTATATCTTGCTTTGACCACCCGGTTGAATCTCACCTAACAAGAAAGATGGAACCAGAATTATCAACAGAGCACTAATGGTTCCTTCCATCGTCCTGGGATGACAGATGGAACTGCTCAAAGTGACTCCTAGTCCGCAGAGCAGGTTTACAGACACTCCTGTGTTGTTGCCCCTCCTGTCCTCTGTCTTCTGTCTCCTCCATGTTGAGTCTCTCTCCCCCTAGGAGATAAGATGTGATTTTGCCACGAGTTAAAGTGTTCAATAAATTAAATCACCACACCTTTTTTATAAGCTTTTGTTATTGGTTGCTGTTGTATCAATTCTGACTCATGGAGATCCCAAAAGTTCAGTTACAAGTTGAATTCCATAGGGTTTTCAAGGCTGTGACATTTTGCAAGCAGGTCTTATATCCAGAGACTTCTTAATGAGTTTGAAAACCAACCTTTCTGTTAGTAGTCCAGGAAATAAGATGTTGTGATAGGAAATAACTGAGCAGGTACTGGTTTAGATAGGTTATTAGGAAAGTCCTCTTTGATGAGAAAACACGTAACTGAAAACAACAGGAAGAAACCAGCCACAATCCAAGCCAGGGGAGGAATACCTGTACCGACAGAAATGAAGTTCAAAGAACTAGAGAGTGGGGGGATGGGTGGAAGACAGTGGGGCTAAAACAAAATGAGGAAGGAGGAGAATTTCTATCAATAAGACTAAAATCAGGCAGGGGGTTATATCCTGTGAGGCCTTGTAGTTCCTCGTAGGTAATGGAGATTTTTTTTCTCCATTTTTCTCAGTGTAATGGCTCAGCAGACATAGCCAAAGCCCTGAGACATGGATATTTAGTAAATGCAAACTGTTTATTAAAGTTCCTTCCACTGATAAAGGATCTGGATAGAGAGATGATCGGAGTATGCCATGCCAGCAACTCCCTCACCTCAGGACCCTGTCAAGGTCCTAGTCAACCTACCCTGATGTCAGCAACTTGCCCTTTCAACATATCACACAGAGTCCAAAATTGCCAGCTCTTTCCATTAGTCACTAGTGACCTGAGTTAGAAAACCAAAAGGGAAGAATACGTTCAGAGTTTCTCAAGTTGAGGGAACTGAAGAAAAAATTCAAGTCTTCACTTATAATATTGAAGGACAAAATATTGAATTATGCAGAAAGTATCAAAAGAAGATGGAAGAAACACACAGAGTCACTGTCCAAAAACAAATGGTCGATGTTCAACCATTTCAAGAGGTGGCATATGATTAAGAGCCAATGATACTGAAGGAAGAAGTCCAAAGTGCCTTGAAGGCATTGGCAAAGAACACGGTTCTGAGAATTGATGGAATACAAGTAGAAATATTTCAACAAACTGATGCAGCATTGAAGGCATTCATGCATCTATGACAAGAAATTTGGAAGACAACTAACTTGGTCCTAACAACAATAAGTGACTTAATGGAATGATTTAGTCATTCCTGTGCTCTAAAAAAGCCCATACTCACTTAGGCTGGATTGATATCCCTTAGATGCTGGGGGTGGGGTAGGGGGACTCCCTCGAGAATTGTGATATGATGGGATTCATGTTTGGAGATTATTGACTTTATAGGAAATGTTTGGAGGAGGGCAAAAGGGGATAGGAAACCAATGAGGAGACTATTGTATTCATCCAAATTTGAGATGATGGTGGCTCATCCTAACATGATGGCAACAGACTTGGGCAAGTGAACACATTCTAGATGTATCTCTCTCTATATTTTTTTTAATAATATGAAGGTAAGTCAGAAAGTATTGCTATAAAATCATAAAAACCTTTATTAAACAAAAACATAAACATGTGAAGAAGCTACTGTTTCTTGACATATTCTTGACACCTAGATCTTTACATTTCTGAAGGAAGTGTTTCCATCTCTCTTATCCTTCCCCAAAGAATTCTGCGCTCTTTGATAATTACACCACATCAAAACAGCAGTTTTGTCATCCTCGAAGGACTCAGATAGTATCCTTTTTCAATATTCTTTGAGCTTGGGGAACAAGAAGAAGTCTGAAGAGACAAGATCAGGGCTATAGGGTGGATGGGGTAACATTTCCTAATGAAATCCTCATAGGATGAGAATGTGTTTTGTCACAATGGAAAAAAAAAAATTTTTTTGGATGCAACTTTCCTGGCTTTTTTCTCACCATTGCAGTTTTCAATTTTCTGAAAACTTCTTCATAATAAGTTTATCCTGCGTCATTTGAGAAAATCTATCAAGATGACTCCATTTTAGATAGGGGGCAAAGAGGGCTCAGAAATCAGGGTTAAACATGGGCCATTTATTGACTGAAACCTTATGACGGAAATCCTGAGGAATGTTGAAACCTGCTCCCTTCTTGATTGAGCAATTGTAAAGATGCAGCAGACATGCCCAGGGCACAGAACTGAACACCACATCCTAGACCATTCCATTAAAAAAGACCGTACATTAAAATTCCCTATATTATAAGACTTGCCACTAAGGAAGACCACCCATAAAAATTGTGTATTTTTACTTCCTTGTGAGATATTTTATAGGACAGATTGGTTTACCTAGTGCCCCAAGCATAACTTAAAAGGACAAAACTTCTACTGGGGCAAAGGAAAATGCCAGCCCCTGGGTGGTGGTGGTGGTGGTGGTTCCAATGAACCAACACATGCTCAACATCCCAGAATAAGTTCTATCTGCTCCTACTAGAAACGTTTGTGGTGGGATCCATTTAGAAGAAATGTTGTGCAGGCACCTAATTAGCATGACCCCTTCTAAATAGACCATTTCCTGGAAATCCCTGCCCATCCCTATGAATAATCATGATGTCTTTTCCCTACCCTAAACCTTTTAAACTCCAGCAAAACTATTGTTCTGAGACACAAGAGTTAAGCGTTACTTGGAGACTACCAAGTTGATTTTGACTCATAGGGAACCCATATGGCAAAGTAGA